TAGCACTAATGATTTACTCAATTTCTAAATGTTTTTACATCCATTGTTCAACATATATTGCAAATGAAGAAAATCTAAATTATATTTTTTTTGTTATACCAATAGAGCAGTAGTAATCTGTCTGTCGTTGTCAACTTACTATTTCGGCTACCATATTAACCACATGACACAGGATTTGATGTGTCTGTCTGTCTATGTATATATATATATACATATATTATCTATATATAGATACATATATTATCTATATATATAGAGAGAGAGAGAAAGAGAGAAAGAGAAAGAGAGAGAGTATATATATATACATACATATATAAACAAATAGATAAATACAGAAATTCTTTTTATCCTTATTTAGAAACAACAATTAAAGTACAACTGTCTTCATACAAATTCATCAAGTTTGGTTTGCCACTGAAATTACTTCCTCCTATTCATTTTTCCTTCCTTACGTTTTCTTTTGATTCTTAGCTTCCCTATCACAAACTGTATGTTATTTTTCTATATATGCATGTTTCAGAATGTAAATAAATATGTGTATAACTTTGCTGTGTAGAGTGCATCTGTCACCATTTTTGCCAATTGTGCACCAGTACTGAAATGGCCAATAATACCAGCCACAACTCTCACTGCAAATATACTAACATCAAAATTCGTGAGTTTCCTGTCTTTCTTTTGTACTCAATATATGTAATTATATGAATGATCTTTAGTCTTTCTCATAATGCTGCAATTTCTGGTTTTTCTCCTTTAAACATTCCAACTTCCCTTTTTTCCTTCATATGTGGTTCAAAATTTGGTACCACTTTTCAACTACTCTCTCTTAATTTGTTTGTTTCTCAAATTTGCTGAGTTTTCCTGATTATATTGTTTTATACTTTCTATAACCTTAGTGAAAATCCTGTCTCCATCATTGAATTTGAAATTTGACTTTTCTTTCACATCTCATTTTCCTTTACCCTATGTTCTGAGACAACTTATATATGTTTCTGTCACACTTCTAACCAATTTTCACTCATACATGTAATGCCTTAAACAAACACCTTTTATTGGTGATAATGATTCTAACATTTGCTTTTGTTAAGTTAACTTTCTTCAACACTATTTTTACATTTATCGTCAATATTTGAACAATTCTGCACATTTTATTCATTTTACTGTCTGTAGCCATTTATACATTTCGGAACCATGTATCTAAGAACACAACAAGTTTTGACATTACTGTCAACCTGGTACCTATATTTTCTTCATTCTTCAACAACTTACATCACCCATACATCACCAATGTCAACTGCTGCTGTCAGTTATTTCTAAAACATTTTCTCTCTAAAACTTTTTCCATTTCTCCTAATAATCTTACACAGGCACAACAGTGGAACTGTACTGCTGAACTTCTTACTAATCCTCAGTTTAATGGGACACAACCACTTCGCAAATCTACCTCCATGAAAACTACAGCTGGGCCATATAATTCTTCTAAACATTACAATCCACTTAGCCATCTAAGAAGTCAACTAATATGACAAGACAGCAAGATCAATGCCAATTGAGAGAAAGAACTGCTAGGTTAGATCCTTCAAATTAATTGAGCCTTTTTTAAAATCCAAATGTTCATCATTATAAGTGTTAATCTGCATTTTATGATACTTCATAACGTAATGAATACTTTAGGCAGAAATACTTCAATAGACACATTCATTGCTATCGTACAAGCATTGCACTTTCATCAACTGCACTGTCTTATGCCAATAGAGTCATCACCTATCTTCAAATCAAAATGCAAGTTTACTGCATTTCATTGTTCTTTTAAGTAACATAAATAAGACTTCAGAATTAGAAGTTGTCTTACCTCTTTCTATGCACGTGTATCTAGGTCTAACGAAGTACACAACAACTGCAACAAGCCTTGAATCTGAATCTCTGCTACATTAAACGTTATTCTTCGCATTGAACTGCTACCAAACATCTTGGGAAATTCAAACAATCAATTGAAGGTATAGTTAATCTTCAAATGTTACCATATGTACAACTGTTATATTCAGCTTTCCCCTCTGATGCACATGTAGCAATACAAATGACATTTAACAGACATTTTCATTCTGTAAAGACTGCCTGAAATTTAGTGCAGATGCTTTTCATGCAGATCTCCATCAACACCAAAACCTTTAATATTTACTTGTAGAATATCATTATCCTCTGCTTCCAAAGCTTGTACCATTTCTTCACATCAGTCATGCATTCACGGCACCATTTGTAGCAGCTTCTTCCGCCTGAATTGATACTCTACTTTCCAACTGTTTCAACTTTTCCAAATACAACTTCAATTTTGCCTCAACTTCAGCTTTTTCATTTTTTAGCTCCTCATTTTTCTTCTGCATAGCCTTCAATCAATTCTCCATTGGTTAAAGGATGTGGAAAAGAAAAATGAGAATCTAAATAATGAAGAAGCTAAAGTTCACGCAAAACTAAAGATGTATTTGGAAAACTTGAAAGAGTGGGAAAGTACAATATCAATTCAGGAGAAAGAAGCTACTACAAATGGTGCCGTGAATGCATGACTGATCCAAAAATACGTACAAGCTTTGCAAGCGAACAATAATGATATTGTACAACAAAATACTAAAGCTTTTGCTGCTCATACAAAGCTTCGAGAAAACCAATTGTCACCACCTAGGCCTCCATTGGTTCACTCAAATGCAAATGGAAATGGAAATGGAAGTGATAAATGAACAAATGAAGGTATTATTATGTTTATATCCGTCTTGTTAACCTTTGTTTTAAAGTTATGCACTCAATTTCTGTATGGTTTTCAACTTTGGTTACGAACTTACAATTATTCAGTGATGCTTTTTGTGCTATCATTAAGCTTTAGTTACGTAGGCATGTATCTTCTAATATTTGCTTCCCTTTGGACCTAAATCTAACTCCTAACTATTTATGTGGAACTGCAAATGTGCTACACACTGACTGTAGCTGCAGGCAGAGATAACACTGACTTCATTTGTACAAAAATGAATCAGGTTAATTGTCCTGATGTCTGGACATTACATCCCATGCCTTATGCTGGAAGTTCTGCTGCACTGAATACCAATGTTTCCCACATACAAAAGAAAAGCCGCCATTCAGAGCTACCAGGTACAGATGATTTATCACGCTTATTCTTACATTTCCTTTCTTACTTCTCACATTCAACCCACATCTGAAGTTAGCACTAATGATTTACTCAATTTCTAAATGTTTTTACATCCATTCTTCAACATATATTGCAAATGAAGAAAATCTAAATTATGTTATTTTTCTTATACCGATAGAGCAGTAGTAATCTGTCTGTCTTTGTCAACTTACTATTTGGGCTACCATATTAACCACATCACACAAGATTTGATGTGTCTGTCTGTCTGTGCGTACATATATATA